CCGGGGGGTGAGTCGGGGTACTGGGCCCAGAGCCCCATGGGCACCGGGTGGGGGGAGTCGGGGTATCAGACCCAGAGCCCTAGGTGGGGGAGGTGGGTACTAGGCCCAGAGCCCCGGGGGCGAGTCGGGGTACCAGGCCCAGAGCCCCATGGGCACCGGGTGGGGGGAGTCGGGGTACCAGACCCAGAGCCCTGGGTGGGGGAGGTGGGGTACTGGGCCCAGAGCCCCGGGGGGCGAGTCGGGGTACCAGACCCAGAGCCCTGGGGGAGTCAGGGGGAGCCCATCTCCTGCTCCTGCATGCCATGGGGGGGCCCTTGGCTCTGTGGCGACAGGGGGTCTGTGTGCCTCTCCCCAGTGGTCAGACGAGCCGAACACGGCCCCCATGCAGGGCTCCCACAGCCAGAGCCTGCACACCCAGCGCCAGCTGAAGGAGGCGCTCTACAACCAGATCATCCACTACTTCGACCAGGGCAAGGTGAGCGTGGGGGACTGCGACCCAGGGAGACTCCCCTTGCCGTGGCCCGTACTCCCTTCCCCACGGCCTGTACCCCTCTCCCCACGGCTGTACCCCCTTCTCCACAGCTTGTACCTCCCTCCCCGGTCCCCTTTCCCCCTCCCCAAGGGTCCTTACCCTCCTTCCCGTGGCCCATATCCCCTTCCTGTTGCTCGTACCCCCTCCCAACAGTGTGAACTCCCTTCCCCAGGGCCTGTATCCCTCTCCCCATGGCCATACCCCCTACTCCATGGCCCCGTACCCCTCCCCATGGCCCGTACCCCTTTCTCCATGGCCGTATCCCCTTCTCCACAGGCTGTACCCCCCTCCCCAGGGCCTGTACCCCTTTCCCCACGGCCGCATCCCCTTCTCCACAGGCTGTACCCCGCTCCCCATGGCCCGTACCCCTTTCCCCATGGCCATATCCCCTTCTCCACAGGCTGTACCCCTCTCCCCATGGCCCGTACCCCTTTCCCCATGGCCGCATCCCCTTTCCCCATGGCCGTATCCCCTTCTCCACAGGCTGTACCTCTCTCTCCATGGCCTGTACC